CTTTCTCATTAAATTTCAATTGGGGTGAGAAAAGCTGAAAACATATTGCTGCTTTGCTTGTGAAAAATGTCATTTTTTGCTTTGCAGGAAAATTTCCAGTGTTTTTAACGCAAAATGATATGTCTCAAATGACCCTATTGATAACTCATTTAAGAAAGCTAAAATATATTTACATATTTGTATGTATATATTGTTTATATATACATAAATACATATATTGAATTGAACTTTCCTGTCATTTTTGAAATTTATCATATGCAAGGGTTGAAGTTAGTTGGAAGGATGGAACCAAGTGTCTTTTTCTGTAGACGGCATTACAAAGAAAGTCCTTGTATTTTTGCTAGTGGTTGGTAGTCAATTTTTTTCCTAAAGAAAACAATTGCCTTCTCAATGGTTAGTTATTTATGTTTCATAGATCTTTGAATTCTTCAGGTCTGAAAAAAAGTGCCCATTTTAAAATAGCAGAGATAGAAGTCATACTGCAGTACAAGGAGAAAAACAACCCTCCTTGTTACCTGTTCCTGGGTAAAGAGTTTGAAACTAGAATACATGTAGGCCGACGATTTTGTTGTTGATGTTGTTATTTTTCTTTAATAAATGCAGATCACTTCAAAAAGTTCAATATAGCAAGAAATAACCAGTCTAAAGGATCACTGCCTTGGTTTATGTGTGAATTCTCATTGCAATAGAAGGCTGAGAATTTGCTGAAGCAGCAGGAGAGCAGTACTGTGAAATGAGGTTCAGTCAATGAAGAGCGATAAGTGTAGTGATCAATAAACAAGTGATTTGTGAACAGCAGCTGATGACTGTGAGTGTGCATTGGTTCCAGATGTGTACTGTAGGAGCAAGGCATGCTGAAGTGGATGATACTGTTATACTGCAAGGTAAGCCATTTACATTTGCCTCCTGACAGTGAGTGTTGATTGCAAATGACATTATTGGGCCTGATTTAAATAATGACAAGTAAAAGAATGATGATTTTGTCTCAACTAGGGAAATGAGAGGTAGGATGGAGTAGTCTCTTATGTGCAGTGGCTTAGGGGAAGGTCACTTGTTCAGTTGATGCTTTGCTTACGTGCAGTGTTTACTTTTCACATGCTTCTGTGACAAACAAAATGAAAATGTGTCAGATTTCAAATTAGAATGAGATGCAAGTAAATCCATATGTATTCAGAAGCATATATTTTTTGTCCTGGTTGCCCATAGCTTGGCAATTTTCCTTATATTAAAGATTTTTCAGGGAAAAACCAAACTCGACAATATCAAAATTCACAATAGTAGACAATAGTAGTAGTAACTTAGCATGGTTTCTTTTGTTTTGTTTTGTTTCTATACAGAGTTTCCCAGGAAAGTAAAACCAAACCGATTGGTCAGATATTCATTAAAGTACTAGTAAATATATTGCAGCCTTGTGAATCATACAGTCAACACTGAAGTTTTAACTGTTGTAGTCTACACAGTTTTTAATTATTTATTGTTTCCCTTTTCTGATTAGAACCCAGTCCTTCAAAGTATCTGTCATATAAGAAGTTCTTACTAATACAGGTAATTCCAGGAAAATTCCCTGAGACTACTAGTTTGAAAAGTAGTGTAGGTCTAAATTAATAATGGAGACTCATTTCTATTCTTCTAGAGTAAAGCTATATCAAACATTGAAAGGTGCTTTAAGTGTTCTTTAACCCAAGCTGTAAAAGATACCATAAATATAAAAAGTGACAGTTTCTATAATGCATAGCAAGAACAGCAGAAATTATGGTGACTGCCGAGATGCTGAAGTCACTGTATGAATTCCTAGGTAGGAGGAAAGTGGTGATCTGATTCTGCTTGCAGCATTTTTATGCCAATGTAATGCCGCTGCCTTCAGAGGTTGTCATCCCGACCTGCACTTGTGTAGGAGTGTGTTTATCCTGCTGTTTTTTAATGGAAGAATCACCATATTGCAAAGTTCTATTAGCTAAAGGTCACTACTACCTTTATATTTACCACTTCTCTACTTCTCTTAAAGAGCTCATTTAAACTGAAATCTAGTGCATGTCCAGGGAGATGTAATTTATTAGATTATGAAGTTAATTAGAGAGAACAATTCTGAAATAAAAAGTATTAAAAATTGAGACAAATATTTTGCAAAGTGTCTAACCTTTTTTCATAAAATAATGCTTCAAAATAAGGTAATTCTGGAAATTTCACATTTCAGTAGTCTTAAATGACCTCCAAAGTAAAATAATATTTTATTGAAAACTTGAACTACTATTTGAAAAAAAAATAAAGTTGAACAAGTCCCAGGGATTTTATAAACTTGTACTGATGTTTAATTGAGTTTATAAGCTTCTTCATTTGAATCAGTGTGGCTGAAGGAAGAAACTTCTTTTTAAGTCTTATAGAGCTTTAAATTCTGCCATGCATGACTTCTCAGAGGTTTCCAGCAGCCTCAGCCTACCCAGACAGGTCAAGAGAGATTGCAGATGGCCAGCAGAGCCAGAGGAGACAGAAATAATTTACGGACTCAGCAGCAGTAGCTTTTGCAGATCACAGTGGCTGAGCAAAGTGCTCAGGCTTCCCAAGCTCAGCGGTTCTGGATCTGCTATGAGCATCTGCTGCAGAGTGCAAGAGGAGAAATATTGCTGTGAAGGTCTCCCAGAGAAGGCTGGAAAACACCAAGTAGCCTGCTTTCTTGCTTTCTGACTGTGTGTGGTTATGCCCATGCTTATCATGATTCTTTCTCAAAATCACGTTTTAGAATAAAAAATAAAAATTAATCCAATTTGGTGGGGGTGTTATAGAGGTACTTAATTATGCTTTTTAATTAGCAACCCATAACATGTGAGAAAAAAAAAAAAAACGAATCCTGACAGTTTTGCACATGAAGTACTTATAAGCATATATATATTTTCTGAAACTGAAAAATATTTCATATTTTTGACTTTTGTTTCCTATTTTAGCAACAATAAGGCACTATCACTAATTAATGTGTTCAGTGAGCTTGTGGACCTCTCTGGTAATTTTCTGCGTTTTGAAAGACATTGCTGAATATCTTGTAAAATCAGCAATTTTATACTGGGGATGATTTTTGCAAACAAAGTGAAACAACTGTCCCTACACTACAGGGGAGGTGTTGGCTTTAAGTTTCTAGTTTGTCCATGTTTTCCTGTACTTTCATATTTTTATTATCGAGCTGTATGTGTCTAAATTGTAAATAGGTAACATATTTCCGAGATCTTGGATCAATAAAAACTTACAGAAATAATTTCAAACCTTCCTCTTATATTTGCCTTAAAATGTATTTTTAGGTATGTAACTCATAAAATATATATAAACAAATCCTCCCTATAGTATCCTACTCTCATTTTCTACACATGATTCAACAAAGGAGGGAATTATAATCATAGGAGAGTAATACAAGGAAAAAGCAGCATTTCCTTGCTCAGTAGGTCCTGGTGTTTTATGATACATGTTCCTGGACATGCGACATCTATCCAACCTATGGAATTATATCAGTCATACCTTGAAAACGCATTTTTATTCACTAATAGCGAGTCATCTAAACTTATCCCTCCCCTGCCCCCCCCCCCCCCCCCCAAAAAAAAAATAAAAAAATAATCCACATCTCTCTTTTCCGTAATTAGATTCCTTTTCCAGGTTTTTATTTCTGATGCATAAGCATTTCTATAAATGCATTACATCTGGGTACTGTGATTAAAAGTTCATTAGAAATGTGACACAGACAGATAGGCTTTGTGTAAAAATAATTCCCCAGCTGCGTGTGTGATGCCCTATGTTGGCCTTGTGTGGCTATAACCTTAGCTGCTTCTGTAGGGCACTCCGTATCATCTTATGGAAATGTAAAAAGGTCCAGATCTCCCAGTTTGTCTTCAGATATTTTCCCAATACACATACATCAAGGTTAGTCTAGTTTCCTAGATGTTTACCTCTGTCCCTAATATTGATGAAGATCTTAAGGTAAATGTGTAGCTGACATGAAAGAACTTTATATCAGCTAATACTTTACAGATGATATTGGCTTTCAAGACACTACAAAGAGAATATACTTTTAAAGACAGAAACTCTACTTCTACACTTCTCAGATAAATAGCACAAAAATCTACCTCAAAAAATGCATCCTGTAAATGAGCAGAGTTTCTGTCCCTGTTGCCATGAATGCTGTACTATAGGCATGTACTAAATGCAATGAATAAAATAAAAATACTGCAAAAGCATCAGCTAATCTTTCCAAACAAAGCAGATGTTCACCTTGATCTGTTTGCATTGCTTGGAAAATGATCTGCTCTCCATTAAATTCAACATTAAATGGCCCAGTGGGTGTAATGAAGCAATAAAAATAAATAAATAAATAAAGTACCTACACTTGAAAATGCTGCCAGAGCTACCTGAATGCTTTATAACATACAGATAATCTGGAAAAGCAATTACTTTTGTGAAAATATAAATGATAATCTTCAAATATAAGCCTGAATCCTTAGCCTTTATTAACACTGATGTTTTTAAAAGTGCATTTACAGAGAGACAAATTGTATATATAATATTTTGTTTAATCTAGACTTCTCTTCCGAAGTGTGACTGACTGAAGTACTAAAATTTCTCTTGCTCTTTGATTTTCTTTGATGCCCTTTAATTCTTTTGGTTTAAAGGCCTCTAATTTAAAAAATACCCACACAACAGCTCCCTAAAACAAAAGTATAACAAAAAGGCAGGTATGTTTCTCACTTTTGCCTGTTCTTATATGGGGTAAGCATTCAGATTTCCGAAGGTCTTCGAGTTGAAACCAAAGAACTCTGGCAATCTTGAGAAGTTATTTTGCAAACAAAAAGGATTTTTGAAGTTACTTGTGTGTGTGTGTATGTCTCTCTCTCTCTATATATATATCTATCTATCTGTACAAAACACAAACCTCTGACATTACTCTTAACTTAAAAAACTAAAAAAAAAAAAAAAAAAAAACCACAAAACACAACAAAACATTCTCAATTTAAAAAATCTTTTGCTTGTGACCTTTAATTTCCTGTTTCCCAACATGACTAAATTTATTACCAGTTTATTCATTGTCTGACAGCTGCATCTTATATGCATAAGGAGGATTGTAGGGAATGAAATGTTTCTATTAAGATGATCATTCTTTATTTGGAAATGTGTTGGGGGGGCTGTTTTTTTATTTTTTTAGCAAAATATCTGGAGCTAATTCATGTCTGATTTGCATTTTATTTAGTTAGTTTTATTTTTAAAGATGCACTTTTATCAGTACATTGTTGACATATTTAGAAAAGAAAAACAAAATATTTCTAAAGGGTTGTTTCTATCAACAAAATAAAAACAAACACTAACTGAAACTTAAGGATGTTTTCAAAATACCTACTTGTTTACAAAGATAGTTAGCGTCTGTAATGTGTTCTTGAGAATAGAATTTACTTATATTCAAAAGTGAGTTGCTCATTATGCTAAAACATCTGTGCATATTCTCTCTTTCTGCTGAGGTATAAATATTTGACTGGACGTTTAGGTACTAGAAAAATTTAAGATCTTTGAAGTAGAATCTAGTACCTTACAGTATTATGTCATTCATGTGTCCAGTATGATTTCACATCAGAGAAATCATCCTGAGAGACTGAAAGAGGTAATCTTATCTACTAAAAACCAATCCCAATACCTACAAAATTTCTGTAGTTCTGTAGACAGAGGTTCATTGTCTTCTCTTCCTTTTGCACATATTTTATTTTTCACAACTGTCTCTGTACTCTGCCAAATTGTCTAATTTGTGTTGTTCAGAGTTAATAACCTGAAAAATCTGCATTTCCCCCCACAAACTTTAAAATCTATTCTGAATATGTATCCTGTCAGAAATAATGCGAAAATTAATGTTTTGTCCAGCAGAGGTTTGAGTTGCAGATCATTCCAGTTTAAGCTGCAGTCAGACTTTTCTCTCCTTTCTTTTTGATCCCATCCAACTCAGAGTGCTGTTGACAGGAGTTTTGCAGCTGGAAGTTGAATTCAAAAATGTGGAAAACAGGAATATGGGGAAAAAAAAAAGAGAGAGAGAGAGAAAAAAAAAAAGTGCACCCTACTCTCCAGGATACATTAGCAATAAAAGATTATTTGGTAGGCAGAACCTTTGTAGCTTTACTAGATATGCCTTTGAGCATTTTAACTACTACCTTTCACACAGAGCCCACATGTGAGATGATGCTGCTGGAGAGGGAGGTGAGGCAGCACAAACAGCTTACTTTACCTGCATGGGAAGAGACTCCCTGCAGTGCCTGGGTTCCAGATGCATCGCTGAACCTGGGTCTTCATTTGTCCCTATTTTAGGCAGAAGTCTTTGTCTTCACAAGGATCGTCTCTGAAAAAAAAAGATTGAATATAAAACAAATGAGGGAATTTCATGGCTTGGCTCTGGCTGTAGAGATGTAAGTCACCACAGTAGCACTTCTCAGCTTTTTAGAAGCTGATGTTTGCAAATTAATTACTTGGCCTTTAAATAGTTCCAAACCACCCAAAGTGCTCCATTATGTTAGCACAGGCTTGAGAAATAGATATGTATTACTAGCTAATTGAATAACATATGGTGTTGATTAGTGCTTAGCTCTTTTTATAGAACTCAATTAAAAAAATGACTGCAGTATATTTTGAGACTATGAGATGTCTGTTGGTTGCTTCTGGCATGAGGGAACTGCTGAACCAAAAAATGATGAACTTTTTCTGTTTAGTTCATCTATAAGTTCCTCTTGGAACTCGTAGTGCACATGGCTATGACTGGAGATAGGCTGCAGTCTGTTAATTTGCTGCAGTATTGAAATGCAGCCTTTCCTGAAAGATTTAAGTGCTCTCCCGGCAAAACAAAACAAAAGCCTAGGCTTTTATTTTTTGCGCTATTGCTCCAGATATTTCAGATGGATAAAAACCTACTCTTCCAGGGTTCAGTTTTCAGAGATGCATTCCTTGGGAGGAGTCCCAAGACATAGACATTAAGGTATAAAGCCCTTCAAGCCCCAAATAACCTCTGTCTCCTTCCACCTCATCTTCCTCCCTGCCACAAGCAATAAATGTACAGTGGAAAAACCTGCCTTTATCTCTTTCACTTGATGCAGCTTTTGCCCAAGAGATTCTTTTCCTCTTAAACTTTGCAAAAATCACCTGAGATGATGATGATTATGAATTTGTTATTACTCACAGAGATAATTGAAGTGGTATAACAGCTAGCAACAGTAATCAGGTTGGGAGGAGCAGGATGGTTAAGGAGAAATAGCAAATGAGAAAACAAGGTGTTTCTGTCCCTGATGCATTTTTTTATTCTCTTAAACTACCTACACTACTTTATTTTGTGTGAAATTTTTAAAGAGAAAATTTGGTAAATTGAGAATTCAAATGTGATGAGAACAATATTAGACAGGGAGCAATGACAAATACTGATTTCTATCCCCAGGTTTATCACCAACTGGTAATTTAGGTCTTGGGTGACAAACTTGGATGACCTGACAAACTCCTCCTCCTTTTTTAAAAGGTGGTGATGGTTGTTTTTGTAGTCTTAAAACTTAGTAGAAAAGTCTACCAACAGTGTCAAATTGCTTAATTCATGTTTTCCATATTTTCATATCATCTTTTAATGTATCGTATTCTATTTTGTATTTAATTTTCATCTGGAAGACAACAAAATCTGAAAAACTCAGAACAAAGGAAGTCCTGAAAAATCAATTATTTTAGAGAAGTCTTTCCAATCCCAGTAAATTCCCATTCCCCAGTAACTCCTCCACTGAGATTATTCATCCATCCAGAGAAAACAGATGAGTTCTGCAGCATATTATGAAGGTTACTTGGGTCATCTGGGAGGGAGCTGTGTTTTAGATGGGCTGTGCTTTCACCGTGAGTGCCCTTTCACCATTTTCCCATTGCTCATCCTTCTCATTATATGTTTGTAACTGCCACAGCAGCGATGTGTAGAATAGACTGTTCATGTCCTAAATCACACTGGGCCCACAACCAGGAGCAGGTGCGGCCTTGATCTGAATCAGAAGATTGTAATGTCAGGACCACATCCTTCAGTGATAATGAGGATGCAAGAAACAAAAGCTACTTTATGTTCCTGTTCCTGTGCCTTCCCCCAGGCCGTATACCTTTGTATAGAATAGGTGACAATATGTTAATTCTTAACTTCTCCCAAGAACAAGTCTCTAGAGCAAATTTTAGCATTTTGTTCAATGAGCTCGACCTAGAGGTTGCAAAGGCATTAGCTTCTTGATGAAGGGCTCTTGGTCACCAGACGCAACAGTCATTTTTGAATAACTGGTAAATAGGAAGACTATGGCTCGAGTTTTGGGAAGGGTCACAGCATGTATATTGACTCCTAGTGTGGAAGACCTTCTTAAAATCTAAGAATTAAACTTAAAATGACAGTATCTGACACAAAGGTCACCCTGCTACCGTGGCTGTCATCAGACAGTAACATCCTGTCCTCTAAAAGATCTAGCATCAAATGTATGATGTTTGAAAAGATGTGGAGACTGCAGATATTACCGGGGGGAAGGGAAAGGAGGTGTTCTGTAGTGTGCTGGTAACATTCCCCCAGAACTTGAAAACTGGCAAAGTGATAGTTAGAAAGAGGATCTTGATGAGCAATCTCCTTCCCCCTCTCTCTCCCCAACAGGTTCTTTAAAAGCTGTTATTCTTTGTTGTTAATCTTTGGCAGAGGACTTACTGTTTCTCATAAAGTAAAGAGAAATCAGGATGACCTGTAAATGGTATAAGGGTTAAAAACATATATCCTTTGGTTTATCCATGAATTCAACAAATACCACTAACATGCATTTCAGTAGAGAAAGCTTCTTATAGGCTGTTTTCCTGAGAATCAGTAGTACAGCCAAAGAAGTAGATCTGTTTTCAAAGAAGCAGCTCCCATTGGTAATTTGGCTTAATTACCCAGGGTTTCTTATTACCTGCAGAAGTCCAGTCCTTTTAAAGTCTTGAAGAGGCTATTATGGCAGCTGTTGGGAAGAAGCCAAGGAGAGATTCTTTAGGATATATCGTGTTGTTAATCAGTGGCAAGTGGTCAGCACTGAGCGTAACTGCCTTACCTGCACAGCAGTCTTCTAATAACATTCTTGCCCTGGGATCCATATACTCCATTGACCTCTTAAATGAACCCAATGTATTTGACTATTATGTACATAGTCTGTCATAGTGATTTTGATAATTCTACACTGACAAGGCAGTCCAGAAATGAAACAATCATTTATAATACAAGTGGAAAAGTTTCCTTTCCATATCCTTGAATAGAAAGTGTTTTCGTATTGCAGTTAAGAAGGTAAGGATAGTTTAATGGGAAAGACATGATTTCTAATCCCTTACATCCAAGCACATTTCAGAAATCTCCAGGCAGTAGCTATGTTAGCTAAACCAGCAATCACCACAAATTGTAGTTGTGTTGGTTTTCCACAAGGGACAGTTTTCTACTTCACAAAGCTATAATGTCATGCAAAGTTCATTTTACTGGTAAGCATCATTGAGCCAAAATTGAGTTCAGAGCTCCAGGGAAAATAAATGTAAGCATTTATCTGCAGTGCTATTTAAATTGGTTTGAAATTTTGAGTTCTTGGTTACCTTGCTCATTCATTCTAGTTCACTGCTCTCCCCTGTAGGGCTCCTAAAGGTTGAGAAGTTAGCTTTATGTTAGGAGTGGTAGAAGGGCCAGAAGTTATCTGCAAAACTTAGGACTGGTTATATATTATGCAACCAGTACAGTCAAGATAAACTCTATACTGTAATGGCAGGGAAAGAGGGTTTTAACTTAACCCCTATCAATTTCTATGTAAGATCAGCATTCAAACCAATAAGAGATGGATAGCAATTAAAAACAGTTTTGTACAGTTAAGATTTTAATGTTTTCTTCTAACTATAGTCCATATAACTTCTCAACACAATAACTAAGCATTCTTTTCCTCACTCTTCCAATCAAAATTTATCCCTAAACATTTCATTCCATGAAATAAAGTATATAATGATAAACATGCAGGCATGAAGTGAAAGTCTATGTGCTGCTTTGCAAGAATTGGTCTGCATTTATGGAAATTCTGGTGAATCAACTTTTTTTTTTTTTTTTTTCCCAAATATTGGTTTGAGTGTCAAGTTGTATTTTAAAAGTATATCAGCAAATTATACTCAGTTTCTATCTTGTTCTCTATCCTTTTCTATCTGTATTTCTTTGTCCTTTCAGGAATACGGCATAAGAAGGAATCAGAATATTTTAATTTTAAACTGCTTATGGTTTGTTTGTTTGTTTGTTTTCCAGATTTTCTAGTCTTCATGTGTTTGGAAATGTTTTGCTCAAACCATTGTGTCCAATCAACATCCCAAATACTGCTATGTTGTGCTGGCTTACACCATCAGCTCGAGTCATTTGCACACGTATAATATTTCTCCTTAGTTCTTTAGTAGTGCTATTACCTATGCAGCAACCACTGTATTAATGAAATAGTGGTAAAATGTAGCATAATGCGTATTCCTGAAACTCTTGTTTCCTAATTGTCATCTTCTAGTCTGTGGTTATAAATCTTTCCCTTCCTCCAGATTTAAGAGGGAGATGGCAGTGTGAAAACATATTACAGCTGTAGTGCCATCATGGGTTTTTAATGAAAGCACAAATCAAATGGTAGATGTTTGAATCGTTTATTTCAAAGGTGTATTTTCCCTTGTTATTTAGTTGTGCCTTAATCTAGTGTGCGTTTTATAATTTCTTGTTCTGGAATGAGATTATATTGTTAGGCAGAAGTATTCTATATTTTAAAAATAAGGCTCTCATAGATTAACCTGTGTTGATTGGAATATTAAAGTGAAGTTATAACATGCTAATACGATTTACTAGGCTGCCTGCTAACTTATGTTAGTGTTTTAAAAGGAGTTAGATATATGTACAAATAGCGTACAATGTTTGTTTAATGTGCTACATTATATTTATTTAGAGTTTTACGTTTTGGTTAGAAGATCTGTTTTATCGTAGTAATCTCATACTTATATGACAAACACCGTAAGACTAGAGATATATTGTAATTTTAAATTCACACTGCTCTCTAGTGGGGGATGCTTTCAATGCAAAAAGATGATGTATATTAATGTACAGCATGTATATAAACTGGGATTTCTGGAAAGTTATTTAGAACAATTCTTTAAAATTAGTGCTCTCACGTCAGTATTTTAATCCTCGTGACACTTTGAAAAAAATACTGAGTTTCTTAATTTAAAAATATTTTAAAGGGGTAAATTCTTCACTCTTCTTGGACTGAACAATATCTCCAGAAGGGTGAAAGGTTGATGGATTATTGCTGCTTCCTCAGGAGAAATCTCCTCCTTCCATTAGGAGAAATATGTTGTAGATGCTGTAGGAAAATCTCAGGTTTTCTCCTAAGCTTTCATAGCCTCATAAATTCTTAAGTGATGGTTGTGGTTTGTCTATGACAGTTAATATCATCACTGTTGATATAATAGGCTTGATTTAATAAATTAGTACTACTTTGCTGTTTTTCACTTTAATTTTTCTTTGGAATTTATTGTTTAGCCTGCTTTTTCATCTCTTGTTTTAGGCAGCTAAAATTCCAGATAACAGAGCCAGTTATGCACAAAAGCAGAAATAATAATACTGACTGAGCTGTTTTTAAATTACAGCAGATGCAGAGCTCTTCTCAGAACTTGGTCAATATTATTTATAACCCTATCGTCTTGTTAAATGAAATTGAGTTTAGTTAGCAAAAAAAAACAACAAAAAAAAACATACTAATTAAATTTTAATAAAATCTGAAAAATCAGATTTAAACTGTTTTTGATATTACTAGCTTTTAGTCATGTATCTTTAGATAGGTTTGTATCTGTGATTTGATTCCAGTGCAGTAAGTGTGTTTTAATCTTTCAGAGGACCAACAAAATGTTTAACTGGTTGCTAATCACATGAAATTTTCAATACTTGAAGTTCTCTCAAGAATGGCTTGCAGCATTATGGTGCAATCAGACAGATTCAAAGATTTTTTTAGGCTTATTTTTTAGATGCTGAACTTTATCTTGATCTGGTTTTAAAGGCATCTGTCTGTAGACCGTTTTCTTGTGTTGCTGCAATGAAGTTTTTTGATCTCTAGGTTGACTAATTTGTCAGTTAAAGACCAAATAGTAGTGTATTTAGGACTGCAGTAATTTTGTCATTCAAAATACAGATTAGATTATTTGGCTAGATCTTCATTTATTCATTAAGTCTGGGAGAACAAAGCAGTTTAAAGATTTATGTGCTGTATAAAGGTCTCATCAAGATGCTAAGTTGGTATAGCATTTTGTACTCCTTTAATAGTAAATAAGGTTTGCAGTGCACAGAGCACTTCTTTACATGTATAATTTCTGCTCACCTTTAATCATAGAAGTTCATGTTTATGTTGGCTTCACTTTAAGTTCTGCAGGTGAGATTTTCTTCTCATTTCTGTAGTTACAGTTTGGGATTAGCTGAATCTAAATTCTCCAGTTAATCCTTAATTTGTAATGCTAGAAAGTTAATAATCACGCTGTATTACTTTCTTATTTGCCTTTAAATTCTTTTTGAAGCAGACAAGTCAAAATGTTATAAGAGCTTGGCTTGAAAACATCACAGGGAGTGGAGAAGGAATGACTAGGGCTTGCTAAATACCTAAGCTAATTAATAAATTCAAGGACAAGGTATGTGCAATTATTTAACCTAAAATGTAGGGCTTTTATTTTTTTATTCTATTAATTATGACATTATTAATATATATATATATGGGGACCCTTCCATTACTCTCACAGGCAAAATAAACTTGACTTGGTGAAAATTAGATTAATTTATTACTGATTTAAGTTGAGTAGGATGGTGAGAAATTAAGACAAAAAAATAAAACACCTTCTCCTCTTCCCCTCTTTTCCCACTGCTTCAATCCTCCATTCCCACCTCTTCTACTTCCTCCCCACTGCCCCCTGGCACTGAGCAGCACAAGGGGCTAGGAAATGGGGGTTGTGGTCATTTAGATACTAACGCTTTCCCTCTGCTGCTACTTGTTCCTTTCACTCTTTTACCTCTCTAGTCTGGGGTCTCTCCCATGGGGTACAGTCCTTCATGAACTGATCCAACATGGGTCCTTCTCATGAGCTGCAGATCTTCAAGAACTGCTCCAGCATGGGCCTATGCCATGTGTTTTATCCTTCAGGGGCAGACTGCTCAAGCATGGGTCCCTCATTGATCTGCAGCTGCAGATCACCAAATCACCTGCTCCTGTGAGGGCTCTTCTCCACAGGCCACCTTTCCTATAGGAGCCTTCTCCTTAATGGGTTCTCCACAGGTTGCAGCTTCCTTCAGATCACATACACATGCTGTGATTTGGGGTCCTCCATGGGCTGCAGTGTGGAGATCTGCTCTGACTTGGCAGCAGGGGGACACTTTGTTTCATGATGGTTTTCTCCACAGGCAAATCTCTGCTCCAGTGCTTGAAACACCTCTTCCCTCTTCTTCTTCACTGACCTTGGTGTCTGCAAGACCATTTAATACATTTTTCTTACTGTTCTCTCTTACAGGTGCTGAATAGTGTATTTGCCCTGTCTTAAATATGTTTTCCCAGAGGTATCACACCTTTTGACTGGTGGGATGAGCTTTGGCCAGCATTGGGTCTGTTTTGGAGCCCATCAGAACTGGCTCAGTGTGACATGGGGAAGCCCTCATTCTCTGCACAGAGGCCATCCCTGCAGTGCCCACTACCAAAACCCTGCAGTGTAAAACCAATGCAATTTCCCACCAAAGATGACAGCTAAGATGTGAGCTTCACCTAGACTTTGCTGGGGAAATTTCTAACAATCTATATTAGGTCAACTTTTCATAAGATAATTCTCAATTCAACAAACTATTTTAGGGTTAAGATAAAAATAACTAAAAACCTCTGGGAGAGTTTGATTCCAGTGGCTGATGTAATAGTACCCCTAAATGTCTAAAGACATTCATCTGAATAGCTGTGAAGTTACTCAAGTTACATAGCAGAACTAAAAAACATCTACAAAAAACAAAATATGTGAATGGTAATTTAGTAGTAAAATAAGAAAATACGAAGAATAATTTTCAGCATTTTACTAGTCTACAGATGTAGAATTCCTGTGTATATTACTTTGCATTACTCATCAATTTTCTCTGTTCCGTTCTTTCTACCCAGAAAATATGAAGAAGCCCTGGAGCCCTGACTTACCAGCTGATAACCACTTGTATAATTCAGATTTCACATCCATCCCAGGCAGAGAAAGTGAGAAAGAATTAGCACCTGATGGCACTGAAGAAAAGAAGGAGAGAGAAAAGAAACAGACCAATTTCACTTTGTGCAGTGTTTGTAACATTCAGCTGAACTCTGCTGCTCAGGCACAAATCCACTACAATGGCAAATCCCATCAGAAGAGGTTAAAACAGCTCAGCAATGGAAATCTCAAAAGTGATAATGGTGAGCATTAATACATATTTGTATAACTTTTGCTTTGTATAAGCTGTATGGCTTTGACTATTTAGTACATATGGAACTGTATGTGGACAGTTAAATATGCTTTTTGCAAGATTAACTTTGTACTTACAAATACCAAATTTAAATATCCATGATCTCATTATTCTTCAGTTTTATATATTCTTCTATTGCATTCTTGGGGCAGGAAGAATTAGATTAGATGCAAGAAAGAATCAGGTATGCAGTCCTAAGTTTTAAATATTAAATTTTTAGTGGATTGAATACATCTCTTAATAAACTTTCATAGATTTATTTTTATTTTTCTTTAAACAGGTCTCAATCAAAACTTTAAGGAGTACTTTTAGCAAAATGGATTTAGTTATGCCCTTGTGATCTTGTACTACAGAGAACCTTGGCTCATTGTGTATAGAATTGTCAGTAAACACTGCTACTGGTGTTGAGCTGAGAAATGCAGCAATGTGCATAATGTCAATATATAAGAGCAAACATTTATTTTGTTCAGCCAAATCCTTTGATGTTAATGCAGAGACTCTCTGTGGCTTCAGAGTACTTGGTGTCATCCCTAACATGAATGCCTGGCAAATAGCTAAAGGGTATACTGTCTGTGTTGTTTCAAGTGTTTTGATTTTATATTTTGTTTACGTGATGGTGTTGGTTCAGATTCTTTGTCATTCCATTTACATTTTGATGGTTTTCAGCATAATCCATGATATTTCACATTTCACAGTCTGTTAGAAAGGTTGCACTTGATAGGGGTGTTTTTGCTTTTAATTGATTTAAGGCAGTTACAAAATAAATTGGAAAAAATACATTACACAAAACAAATACATTCTCTAAGGCATTTCACTTTAGTTTTGTCATTCAGGTTTCAACCTATAGTTAGCATAAATCTGTTCAACCCATGTCTAGCATAAATCTGTTTAAAGATCAGAGTTGAAGCCCAAAGGAGGTGGAACAAAGATTGGTTTTGTTTTAATCTGTTTCATTGATGGCTTTGTGAAAAATATGTTGTGGTAGGTGGCATGTTTTCCTATCATCGGAGTGAGTTGCGTGCCTCAAAAAAAAAAAAAAAAAAATCATGCCTGGGGCTTTATGTACAGAAATAGATCAGATTACGTGGTCCCTGACAAGAAAAAACAGATTACTATGTTATAATTTTGGTTCTCAATTTCATAACTTGTAATGCTTAACTTTGCTGTAGTAGGGGTAGATTTAAACTGTTTTGGTCTGTTTCTACGTACCATGTCATAGAAATGAGGGCTTTAATAGGAGGCACTTAGACCTTTTCTTCAGACCTACAGAAGCATTCTTTAATATCGTGTTCCATGAATTACTTCCTGCCCATTTGTAGAAGCATATGCTTAGCACTAATCCTCAATAGGGTTTAAGAGGTATTTTAATATTGTCTCTGCTTTGTCCTGGTTTTAGGAGTATGAGAGCTTGCTGGGAATAATATATGGATATGTTCATGAAGTATATTGGATGTGGGTGCTTTGCTGTGAGGATAAGTTCATTTCATTAAAACAAACCAATAAAAAAACAAACAAACAAACAAAAACATCACACTGAATAACACAAATAATTTTACCTTTAAGTGGCAGAGTACAACTTTTAGCACTGTTCATAGTTCAGGCTTAGAAAGAATACCACTAACATTAATAGGAGCTGTGTGAGTGCTTAAAGATTGGTTTCCTAGATGATTAAAAGCAGAATGTGGTTATCCACAAATGCATTCTTTCTAAAAACAAATAAATACATTCTAATGTTATTACTGTCTTCAGTTAAGGTAAAATTGTGTTGGCTTTGTTATTAGAACAACAATTTTGGTAGTGACAAAGTGTTGTTTTTCTGCAGTTCATTTTTCTGCTTTATTCCATGGCAACAAAATCATTAGTAATTAAGCTATACTGAAATTAGTGTCAAAGTGTTTCAGTCATGCATCAACATTTATATTCTAGGGAGTATCAAAGCAGTAGCATATCAGTATGTTTCTTACTTCCTCCTTAAAATGTATCTTTATCTCATGCTTCCATTTGTAATCAGAACATAACTAACTGTCTAGCTCTTTGTTTCAAAATGAAGTAATTTCTGGAGGGTTGCTGAAAAGATGACTCTCCAAATCTGGCAAATCTTTGAGTATCACCAAAAGTAGCACTGCACTGGGAGAAGAACATAGTGAAGAGCATAAGGAAGCGATTTTCCCATATCACCACACTTTGACATTTCATATTCTTCAAACTGAAAATTACAAGTGAAATAGAGACCAATATTGTATATTTCTTTCTAAAACTGAGTGTATGAACTGAAAAATTAGAACTGAATATTTGACCTGAACAGCATGTAATTTTAACAGAGATGCACTGCTTGAGATCCCTTTTCTAAATCAAGTAGAAATCAGGACCTGACAGGCCGTCTGCAATAACAGCCTTTGTCAAAACTGGTATACTTAAAATATGAGCAATATTTTTCAGATGAATTATTGTTTTGTTGATGAGACCCCAGCAAGCTCGAGTGACACAACTGTGGCTGAAAAAAATATTACTTGACCCTTTCAGTTTATCATGTGTACACAAATGAAGATTTTTGAAGGTCACTGATGTAACTAAAGTAACTGTTAAAAGATGCACAATACTGTTTATTCAATATGTGTCAATAGGTTGCTTTATTTATGAGAATGGTGTTTCTCGTGCAGAAATGTTATTGTCACAGAAGACAGCTGTTATGCTCAGTGTTCAGGTTGCTGGTCTAATCAATTGAGACTAAATTCTGGTGTAAATTGAAACTTTTGCTTCATGAGATTGTTGTCTAAAACTTCATCAGCAATGATTTCTCAGTGTATATATACTGTGATTAGCTCTGGGGCCCCCAGCACAATAAGGACACGGTTGTATCCCAGAGGAGGGCCACGGGGATGATCAAAGGGCTGGAGTACCTCTCTGAAGACAGGCTGAGGGAGTTGGGATTGTTCAGCCTGAAGGATCCGGGGAGACCTTATAGCATCCTTCCAGTACTTCTTTATATGAAAAGGCTAGAAAAAAGTGTTGAAATGTGATTGTTCCATGTTTTTTTTCATCTCTAAATTATTCCCTGAAAGATGGGTTTACATGTTTTTATATCATGAGGGGTAATAGAAATGGAGGATTAATTTATATGAAGCAACAGCCCATGTATTGTTCCTGAACACTTTGCAATGGACTGAAAGAAGGTAGGATTCAACTGTATAAGTGTTTGACTGTAATTAAAGCTATCATGCTATAATCATCATCTTCAAACTGTGAGGAGTAGCTTTTATCTGTTGGACATAAATGACAGAACATGTTAACAATGCACTTGAATATCTCTGTGTAATTTCATAAGGTAAATTGCTTAAGCAAAAGTCTATTAACCTCTGCAAATATACAATTAATAAATAATGTGCATCATGGGGATAAAAGCAGCATCACTTTGCTGCTATACTAGTATTGGTACTGAATTTGAAAAACTCACCAGATATACTCTAAAAACTTTGCTAGTGGTTTATTTGTCAGCTTGGCACATTTGCTATATGAGACCCACTTATTGTCTTCCTGCAGCAATGCAGCCTCAGAACGGCACATTGTGAAGTCACAAAAATGATGTGGTGTAGTTGTGGAGACACAATGTTTCTTGTGCCATTACCTGGTACAGTGATCTGAGATGGCTTAAACGGGTATGGTGAGATCTCAGCACTTCTGTTCCTTAACTCTGCGTATTTGGGAGTAATACTTTGGGAGTAAATTTTGTGTGTTCCTTCCTCTTAATAATTGCCTTTCATGTCACTTAAAAATACTTCTCACACTTTCTTCATTACACTCTGTAATATATTCCTTTTTCCTGATTTATTTTTTTTTTGCCTGTCAGTTCTTGTGCATGCAGTGACAAGGTGGCAAGCAATTTGGTGGAAATTTTGAGTAAATTTTGGGATTAAAAAGGGGTAAAATGATTTTCCAGCCCGGTCCACTGAAATTGCATCACTTCTTACAAAGCCAGCCTTGACATTGTGGAAGAAGGTGAGCTTTTTGTGAAATAGTTTATCCTCACCAGGAGTAAGAGTCAGGGTCCTGCTGATAGGATGGAAAATTAACTGTTGATGCAAGTGTATAGCAGTACCAATGAGAAAGATGATATTAGCAATAAATAAATAAATAATGTAAACTGTAATTTTCTCTGTGCTTTCTGTACTGTAAATTGCTGAATCATAATGAGTGAATGGGGCATGGTTAGGACAAAAACTGAAACTCCTCTACAATACTTTACTTTAAATAACAAATGGAAAAATAATGAAAAAGATGAGAAATGCTACAAAATTCATAGAACTCCCTTCACTTTTAAAATTGATTTCTGAAACATTATTCTTTTGAAATACAGTCATTTAGTAAAGTGGGATATTTGGTGGTAGTTTCTTTACCTATCTCTGTGGTTATTTACTCTCTGAATTCATAACCTGGACACGTGACTATCCAGTTTAGCAAGTTTTATTTAATTTTTCTTAAACTAAAGCTGCCTTCACCTTTTATTTCAGTGAAATTTCATCTTAGCAGAATTTCCTTTTACTGTGAGCAAGAACAGTGAGTGCATGAAAGAAATGGAAAAGTTCAGATTAAATAAAAAATAAATATTTTTTATCTTTTACTTTACATGTACATGTATGCTATATTTTACTTTACAAAAATCAAATATCTTAATTCAGCACTAAATATTACTTAGGAACGAATAACAATTTGATTGTTATAGTTGTGCTATTATATACCCTGAGAGTAAAATATTTTTCTCATACTTTTTTTTTTTTTTTCAACCACATTCAGTATAGTTTCAATGTAGTTTCAACAGAGCAGCTTCTGAGATGATAATTCCATAATATCTACTCAGTAAATATTTACATAATGGTTAAAGAAAATTACTAATATTTTTTTTTCCTTTGTCCAAATCCTGAGATTTTACAGTCCTGAGGTAGGAAATCCAGA